GAGGGCCCTGCTCTTTCGGGGTTACAATCTAGGAGGGGGGGATGGTGGCACAGGAGGAGATAGCTGTGGGGGATGGAGTGGTAGGAAGAGTGGAGGAGGTCGGCAAGTATGCAGGGGGTGGGGTAGGCTTCCCTGCAGAGATGGGTTTTCAGGGTGCGCCTAAAGGAGAGGAGAGTAGGTGATAATCTGATGGGTTGGGGCAGGGAGTTCCAGAGGAGGGGTGACACCCTGGAGAAGTCCTGGAGGCGGGCATGGGAGGAGGAGACCAGGGAGTGCAGAGTACATGCTCATCCTCGGGTCATAGAGTGGACACCTCATTATAAGGCACACAGAGCCCCCACTTAGGGCAGAAAAGGGATCCACAATTGTAAAGCACAATAAACCCCAATTCTCAGGTCAGAAAGTTTGCCCCTGATTACATGGTGTACAGAGCCTCCATTCCCAGGTCATACAGGGGGTCCCTCAATATAAAATGTAGTGAGCTCCCCATCCTGAGGTCACACAGGGGTCTCTCAATATAAGGAGTGCAGCCCCCCCATTCACATGACAGGGGATCCTTCATTATGAGTACACTGCCCCCACTCAGGATGCACAGGACCCCCATCATATGAAATACAGCGTTCCCCCATACACACTGGGTCCCCCTCATGTTCCATTGCTGTACCCCCCCCCCCTCTGCACACATGGATGGTATACAGGGTTCAGTGTAAAACTGACGAGGGGCTCCTGGCTCTCACCCCCCTCGCTCCAGGAGACATTTAATTCTCTAGGCAGAATATTGTACTTCCCACACAGCTTGGACTTCAGGAGGCGGCGGGTGCAGCACTGAGTGATAGGGCAGCAGACCAATCCGCTTCCACTGCCTTCCGGCAAATCGGCAGCCAAACATCCTGCTGGGAGGCGGGACTATGAGCAGAGCTGTGTAGGAGGGGCTTTTGGCGGTGCTGTTCTCACTGAACATAGATATAATGTGAGCAAGTCACGTGCACAGCCTACCTGCCAGCGGTGCTGTTGCACCCATGCTGACCCCAGCCCAGAGTTCTCTCACTGGTTCGGGAAGTGTCTTCCTCCTCCTCCGTCCTGGCTTTCTCAGGATCAGACCCAGAGCTGGCTTACTCCATCCATCCTGCCCTGTCCTCTCAGGAGCCTCTCATGGGGCCCCCCTGGCCCCAGGATCTTTTGGGCAGTGCCCGAATGGTCAGTCCACCCCTGGTCTTCACTGTGTTCCATGGTATATCTAATGCCTTGGAAATTCTTTTGTACCCTTCTCCTGACTGATACCTTTTAACAATGAGATCCCTTTGATGCTTTGGAAGCTCTCTGTGGACCGTGGCTTTTGCTGTAGGATGCGACTAAGAAAATGTCAGGAAAGACCTACTAGAACAGCTGAACTTTATTTGGGGTTAATCGAGAGGCATTTTAAATGATGGCAGATGTGTACTGACTCCTAGTTTTAATATGATTTTTGAATGTGATTCCTTAATTCTGAACACAGCTACATCCCCAGTTATAAGAGGGTGTGCACACTTATGCAAACACATTATTTTAGTTTTTTATGTTTACCCCCCCCCCCCTAAAAGATTTCAGTTTGTTTTTCAACTGTTGTACAGTTTATAGGTCACGTTAAAGGTGACCTGTCTCATATCAGCATGGATGTCACACCACTACCTCAAGCTCAATCTTTCAAAAACTGAATTTGTAATATTTCCTCCTCCCCGATCCCCCACTCATGACTTTACCATTAAGATCAACGGCACAACCATTGGTCCTTCCCCTCATGCCAGGGTGCTAGGTGTAATCCTAGACCCTGATCTCTCCTTTGGGCCCCACATCCACTCACTGGCTAAATCCTGCCGCCTCAAGCTCTGGAACATTTCCAAAATCCACCCCTTCCTGACCAATGACACCACAAAACACGACTTATCCATGCCTTGGTTATATCCCACCTTGATTACTGCAACTCCCTCCTCACTGGTCTACCGTTACACAGGCTATCACCCCTTCAGTCTATTATGAATGCTGCTGCTAGACTCATACATCTTACCAACCGATCAGCGACTGCTGCCCCTCTCTGCCAATCCCTCCACTGGCTTCCACTAACCCAACGTATAAAATACTAACCACAGCTTACAATGCCATCCACAACACTGCCCCTAGCTACATCGCCGACCTCATCCACAGATATCGCCCACGATATCCTCCTTTTCTAGCTCCCTCATCACCTCCTCCCACGCTCGCCTCCAGGACTTCTCCAGAGCCTCTCCCATCCTCGAACTCCCTACCACAGCATGTCCGGTCAGCCCCCACCCTGTCTGCCTTTAGGCGATCTTTGAAAACTCACCTCTTTAGGGAAGCCTACCCCACCTCCACCTAAGAACTATACTTGAGTCTCCTCCACCAGATCATCCCCGCAGCTATCACCTTTTGTATCACCTCCCCCTTCCTTTAGATTGTAAGCTCCACGAGCCGGGCCCTCCTATTCCTTCTGTACTGAAATGTATTGTAATTGTACTGTCTCCCTTATATTGTACAGCGCTGCGCAAACTGTTGGCGCCATATAAATCCTGTATAATAATAATTTTTTTTTTTACATCACAGAAACCTGACCTTTTAACAGGGGTGTGTAGACTTTTTATATCCACTGTACAGCACATGTTTTAACTCAAAACGTAAGCAGTATTTATCTCTTCGTGAACTGACCCCAAAATAGGGTTGTCACCTCATCCCTTTAAAACCGAACACATATTAATCATACAGGTTCTGTGGCTGATTAAGGTGGTAATTAAACTCACCTAGTACTTTATCTGCATTAAATTGGCCTCAGAACCTGTGTGGTCGGTTTTAAAGGGATGAGGTGGCAACCCGACCCCAAAGTCACTTCAGATGCCAAAGTATCAGTAAGCCAAGCAGGCCTCTGGACTGTTTTTTTTGTTTTTAAGAATTCTACAGGTGGACACTGTACCTCTGTCTCACTAGTATTAGGGAATATTCCAAATCGAGTTAAAAATAAAAATGCTGATAAGGTGTTGTATAGCACGAGGGACATTCTACACTTTTTTAACAGTGCCAGTCTTTTTCATAGTTACATAGGTTAAAAAAAAAAAAAAGATAGTCCATCTAGTTCCACCAACCACGTTGGAGCTAGATAGAAATTAATAGAATTTGAGAAGATTGGGCTGTGTCAAGAGACCATCAACTGACCCAACCAGGTCTACAGGAGTTGAGCAAAGTACACCTGGCCCTGTTAAAAAGCTTAGTAGCTTCCAAAGAGGTCTTGTGAAGGCATTATATGTGGTATCCTCATGGATTGGGTAGGTTGGAGTTTGCAATAGTCCATTAACCTTGGTTAGACCTTTGACTGGTTGTTGTAAATTTTGTGAAGATTCCTATTACTGGGCATTCAACACTGTCCACTTCTGAAGTTGTAATTCTAGCTTGGTTTTAAATCAAGTCAAACTGGGACTTTTGGGTTTATATAATAAAAGAACAAATTTCAAGGACTGGAAACTGCATTTATTTTTCCACATACTCCTATGCTACACTTATCCCAGTGTTTAGCTAATTCCTGGAAAGCTTCTGTATAGAAAGATTTGTCAGTACGCCTGAACCATCCTAGGATAGGTGGCTTCACTTCGTCATCATTGTGTTAACCGTCCCCACAGAAAAATGTCGCGGTTATGCGTCGATTATCCAGGGTCAGGCGTTCCATGATCTGTGCACAGGAATGACTGCTGTGGGCTGCAAACTGCCATGGCTGGAATTGTCACTGGTGGACGTGTGGCCAACTTTTGAAACGTTTACATCAAATGTCTTACTGTGGCTAAGCGTCTCATCACTGTACTGTGGGTCAATTCTTCACAAGAAATTTTATCACCAGACGCTGTTCCATGTACTCACTAACACTGCTGTCTGCCATCTTGGTTAACTGTCTCTGGACTGGCCCACAACATGTGTGCTGCCTATCATTAACACCTTCCCGCGCAGACTATAGCAGATTGGCGACCAGACGGGACACTCCTCTTTGTGACTGGACGTCGTCCTGTCAAAATGAGCCGCTCACGTGTCTGCTCGATCTGGACACAGTCGGTGACATATCACTACACCGGACCGTTGCCAGTGTCATGTGACCGCTGTGACCAATCACAGCAGTTCACATGTCAATTGTATTCAATGGATGGCTTCCTGTCATGCCATCCATTGTATACAATTATGTTGTTAGCTGTGACTGGTCAAGGCAATCACATGATACAGACATGGCCAATCACAGCCCATCTGTATCATGTGACCAGCTTTGCCCAATCACAGCTAATCACAACAAAAGACTGAATCAGTTTCATTTAGTAACAATGATTGCAAATATCAATGAAATACATTGATATTAGCAATCATAATGTGTTAAAAAAAAAAAAATATATCACTTGCTCAGAGTAGTTCAATGTTGCTATGGTAACATTGTATTGCTTTGGTCGCAGTGTGCTGAAAAATAAAATAGTAAAAGAAAAAATGCAATAAATAGAAACATTTGAAAAAAAATACAAATTCTATTATTTTCACCAAAGAAATGTAGCAGAATACATTTTGACCTAAATTTATGAAGAAATGTTATTTATTTGCAAAATTTTATAACAAACGTGCGTTTTTTTGTTTTTTTTTTTATTATTTATTTTTTTCCCCCAAAAGTTTGTTTTATTAAGCGAAATATAAACTTGGTGGTGATTGAATACCACCAAAAGAAAGCTCTCTATTTGTGTGCAATCCTGGAGGTATATGTCCTGGCAGACACCCGTGGCACCTCCCTAGGCTTGGGACAATGGTAGTTGCCTGAAAGAATTTGTTCTAATTTCCCCCGGAGATTGGTGGATCAGAGGGTGTCTGCTGTGCTCATGGACATTCAATTGCATTTTGATTGCTGTCACAAATGACATGTCCCAATGGACATCAAACAACTGTTGGTATATTGGTTTGTATTGCATCCTGATGTTACTGTTTTTATTTTGCAGGGGTAGAAGATGAACTTGCCTTGGCTCTAGAGATGAGTAAACGGGATCACCAGACAAACGTGCAAACCCCCAACAACCGTGCTAGGGGGTCACCAAACCATCTCCAACGATCTCAAAGCGCCGCCCCTGCTTACATGGTACTGGACAGCGATGACGAAGATGAGGATCTGCAACTGGCCATGGCCTACAGCCTCTCCGAGATGGAGGCCGCCGGGCAGCACCGAGCAGGTGCGAGAATTACACAGAGAGCAGGGAGAGGGCAGACGCAGGAGGTATTGAGGCAGCTGAGGGCGCAGGGACAGGCAGCACATCTGCTGAGACACCACAGTTTGACTGCAGATCCGCTAAGGCAGCAGCAAGTGACACCAGACCGACTAAGGCAAAATCAGGTGACAGTAGGTCAGCTAAGGTTCCAGAGGGGGCAGCAGACCAACTGAGGCATCAGGTGACTGCAGATCAACTAAGACACCAGCAGGTGACAGCAGGCCAACTGAGACATCATCAGGTGACCATAGATCAGCTAAGGCACCAGATGGTGGCAACAGACCAACTGAGACATCATCAGGTAACCATAGATCAGTTAAGGCATCAGCTGGGGGCAGCAGACCGCCTAAGACATAATCCGGTGACCATGGACCAGCCAAGGCACCAGCAGGTTACGGCAGAGCAGCTGAATCCTCAATCGCAGCACAGCCCAAACAGGGAGGCAGTAAAGCAACAGCCAAGGCCGAATGAAGATATTCCAGAAGGCAAAGTTAGTGGGGAGCTGAAAAGCCCAAAGAAAGATGAGAAGAAGAGAAAAAATAGATGTTACATCTGCTAGTGGCAGCCAGGATTTACACTCATTAACTTAATGACAACTTTGCATTTGTTGGCAAAAAAAAAAAAAGATGCGGGCTTGTTTTTTTACTGAAGAGGTCTCAGAGATTTGTTGCCGTCCAGAGCCCCCGGTGTATGTTTGCATCTGTCTCTGCATCACTGCGCCTCCTGCTCCTACAGCAACTAAATGGTTTAAAGGCAGCCCAGCACTGACCTATGAAACTGATGAGCTGGCATTCTCTAAAGCCATTTAAGAGCCGAGCTTTGTGCCTGACCTTTGGCTGCTCTGTAGAGTGGCTTAACACTGCCCCTTCTATCCGGATCTCTGCTGAACACTGCTTGGACTAACCCAATGGAAGTCTCTCTCCAGCTGTCTGCATGTAGCGCTCTGTCTTCCTTCTCTGCTGGGCTCTGTCCTCCTTTTTTTCCTCTGCTCATCGGGGATGGGTTTCCTTCTAAATGGCCAAGCCCCTTGGACTTTTTATTATAAACACTTAAATGCCTTGACAATGTTGTTGTTTTCCGGGATGCTGGAACCATTTGCGATGTCGCTTTGCGACATCCTAGCGGCCTTGTAGTTTTGTGCCAAAAACTCCTTACTTAGTCAAAGTCTTTCCTGAATTTTTTTGGGCTCATGTATAAATGTAATCAGAAACTAAGAAGTGCTTTAAAGCTAAACTCCAGGCGGATACAAAAGACACAAATTGGGCTCTGTGGTCATTAATATGTATACCTCCCTGGTCTGCCTATATTGTACAGTGGAGACTGAATGTAGACAATGCAGTGCTTCCATTGCAGAACGGACAACTGGAACAACCCTTACAATTAAATCTGATGCTTGACGAGTTGTCCCCGGACGTATCAACCGCTAATGTGCTGTAAGTGTAGACCTGTCCTTTAAAATGGAACTTTATTCAGAAAATGAGGTCCTGCTAGATCAATTCAAGCTGGCCCCTTTTGCAGATATAGCTATGTAAAAAATTAAAAATAAGTGCCCATACTGTTTTTAAAATCCAGAAATGCATGGTATCACCCTACTCTGCACATGCTCATTTGCTCTCTATTCACAGTGCCCAAAATCAGTCACTAGAGGCCGATCAGCTGACAGCTTTAAGATTTACTGTTGCTGAAGGGGGAAGTATGCAACAGGAGTCACAGACTATGCATAGGGGACACAGATTAGGGAGGGAAAAAAGAAAAGGAGAGGTGACAGGACAATCTCTGTTGCCAGGGAGGCATAAAAGAGTTCTTACAAGGATGGTGTCTTATCTTCCTAATTCTCTATCCTCATGGCAGCCTGGGAATTTCAGCACTGTAAAGCTTCTGTCAGCTTTCCTCTCTAGCTGAGCCAAGACAGACAATAGAGGCTGGAAATATATATATTTTAGTTACAGAAAGTGAAAAATAGTTTTTGACGCCAAGGGGAGGGGAGCATTTCCAATAAGGAAGTGACTGCTTTGGGTTTCAACAAAATGGCAGCCTCCAGCAAGAAGAAATAGGAGCAAGTCTAGAGGAAATTTACAGCACACACTCATTTTGGTAGCATAGTAATTAATGTGGAATGCATGTTCTTTTGTTAAAGAACATTTCATTGTTATCAAACTGTTATGGGTAAAGTGCCACTTTAACCAGTAGCCGACTGTAGATAGCCGAATGACGGCTTCACTGCGGCCGGCCAGTTCTGGGAGGGCGTCATATGAAGTCTTCCCAGAACGCGGTCTCCTGCGCGCTCCCGGCGATCTCCGTGATAGCTGTGTCCTACGGACACAGCTGATCACGTGATGTGGTAAAAGGCCAATCACAGCGGCTTTTTACCACGTGATCAGCCGTGTCCAATGACACGCTGATCACAGGGAAATGCAATTGCAGGTCTCTGCTGCACTTTCCTCACGCTGTCAGAACGTGGGGAAAGTACTGCAGAGAACTGGCAGTTGTCAGAGCGGGGATCGGCACCGATCATCAGTGCCCTGATGATCGGTGCCCAGCAGTGCCACCCACCAGTTCCACCCAGCAGTGCCACCCACCTGTGCCCATCAGTGCAGCCGGTCAGTGCCCAGCAGTGACGCCTATCAGTGCTGACTATCAGTACCCATCATCAGTTCCACCTATCAGTGCTGCCTATCAGTGCCACCTCATTAGTGCTGCCTATCAGTGCAGCCTCATCGATGCACATCAATAAAGGAGAAAAATTACCTGTTTTTTCAAAATTTTATAATAGAAACAAAGAAACCTTTTTTTTTTTTTCCTTCAAATTTGTTTTTTGTTTATAGCGCAAAAAATAAATCCTCTTGCAGCAAGTAAATACCACCAAAAGGAAGCTCTATTTGTGAGAAAAAAATTATAAAAATTTCATATGGGTACAATGTTGCATGACCACGCAATTGTCGTTCAAAGTGCGGCAGCGCTGAAAGCTGAAAATTGGCCTGGCAAGGAAGGGGGTATAAGTGCCCGGTAGGCAAGGGGTTAAAATACATAAAGATATATCTTACATTACTGATGATCTCCCTCCATTTCTGACATTTTAGCACTGCATCAGTTTTATACATGAGCCCGGTGTATTACAATGCCTTTATAAAGCGATGTCCACACAGCTGCCTAATGATCCTCAATCTGTTCTATTTCCATACTATTCATCTTTCCTCTGTCTTCTGGAGTAACAATTGAAGGGCATGAAGAATGAGGTGTCTGCTCAACTGGAAATATTACAAGTTATACTCTTGGCAGATCTAAAAAAATACATGAAGTTATGTTTTTAGTAAAAGTAATGAAATGTATATTTTATTGCAGATCTAAGTCAAATTCAGATCCATCTATATACTGTGGGGGGGGGGTTTACTAAAACTGGTGCAGCTGTGCATGGGAGCCAATCAGCTTCTAACTTCAGCTTGTTCAAATAAAGTGTTACTAAACCCAGGACCCTGCATTCCCGAAATAATCATTGTTATATCAACATCTCGCTGATCACACCAATGTTCCGTGAGCTGTAGATCTGGCAATTATTTCAGGGGTTCCACGAGACCTCAGACTGTTTGCCAAGGTTTCCTAGAAGGCAAAAAGATTGAGACTGCTCTACAGGATGATGACAAATATTGGCAGCACTCGCTCTGATTAAAGGGTTACTAAACCATGGACCCTGCATTCACTATATCTGGTCTCCCCGGACCCTGCATTCACTATATCTGGTCTCCCAGGACCCTGCATTCACTATATCTGGTCTCCCAGGACTCTGCATTCACTATATCTATCTGCTCTCCCAGGACCCTGCATTCACTATATCTGCTCTCCCAGGACCCTGCATTCACTATATCTGCTCTCCCAGGACCCTGCATTCACTATATCTGGTCTCCCCGGACCCTGCATTCACTATATCTGGCTCTCCCCGGACCCTGCATTCACTATATCTGGTCTCCTCGGACCCTGCATTCACTATATCTGGTCTCCCCGGACCCTGCATTCACTATATCTGGTCTCCCCGGACCCTGCATTCACTATATCTGGTCTCCTCGGACCCTGCATTCACTATATCTGGTCTCCCCGGACCCTGCATTCACTATATCTGGTCTCCCCGGACCCTGCATTCACTATATCCGGTCTCCCCGGACCCTGCATTCACTATATCCGGTCTCCCCGGACCCTGCATTCACTATATCCGGTCTCCCCGGACCCTGCATTCCCTATATCCGGTCTCCCCAGACTCTGCATTCACTATATATCCGGTCTCCCCGGACCCTGCATTCACTATATCTGGTCTCCCGCGGACCCTGCATTCACTATATCCGGTCTCCCCGGACCTGCATTCACTATATCTGCTCTCCCGGACCCTGCATTCACTATATCTGGTCTCCCCGGACCCTGCATTCACTATATCCTGGTCTCCCCGGACCCTGCATTCCCTATATCCGTCTCTGTCTGGTCTCCCCGGACTCTGCATTCACTATATCCTGGTCTCCCAGGACCCTGCATTCACTGCATATCACTATATCCGGCATTCACTATATCCGGTCTCCCCGGACCCTGCATTCACTATATCCGGTCTTCCCGGACCCTGCATTCCCTATATCCGGTCTCTGCATTCACTATATCTGGTCTCCCCGGACCCTGCATTCACTATATCTGGTCTCCCAGGACCCTGCATTCACTATATCTGCTCTCCCCGGACCCTGCATTCACTATATCCGGTCTCCCCGGACCCTGCATTCACTATATCTGCTCTCCCCGGACCCTGCATTCACTATATCTGTCTCCCCGGACCCTGCATTCATTATATCGGTCTCCCCGGACCCTGCATTCACTATATCTGGTCTCCCCGGACCCTGCATTCACTATATCTGGTCTCCTACAGTACACACAACATGGAAATGCAATTATTTTAGTAAATATAAACTGCTAAATACCTTTTCTCATCAGCAGTATATAGCAGTCTTGTGACTTCTATCAGTGTCCACCAGAGCACTGGTTAAAGGTAGGAGGAGTTTTCATTCTCCCCTGATTGTCCTATGAGGCTCCATGACCCTCACCCTCTGTCTGGACAGTGCTGATTGGCCCTGTGCTGATCACATGCACCCTCACCAGAACAAAAAAAAACTCTAGCAATACACACCAAACTGACTATGTGCAGAGTGTCCCCTAGCCTCTGTTCTATCAGGAGATATTTAGGAGATACTGGAAGAAGGGGAGGATCAGAGAAGACAGGATCAAACATCCTTTTTTACACAATGCAGAGGATTAACCCCTTAGGTTCCACAGTGAGTACAACAAGCATGCTGTACTGCATATACAGACTGATTGTACTGTTGTGGGTTTAGTAACACTTTAGGCTTTGGCAGTAAAACCTGGAAGCTGATTGGTTTCTACGCAGAGCTCTACCAGATTTTGCACCATGCAGTTTTCATAGATAACCCCCTAGATGTATCTGAATTAGGCTTGGTCTCAGTCGCTTGTAATCCTTTCGTACAGTTGCAGAAAGAATTACAAACATGGGAGGAGAGGAGATAGGGGTCAATCGGCTATGCTGCATGCATATGTCCTGACTAGGATCATGCTGGCAGAAGGAGAGAGCCATGACCTCATCAGAATTCTGCTGTGCCTACACTGTCCAATCACACGCTGTATCTCATATCTACAGTGGAGAAAGTTGTTTTCTAAGTGTCCTGGCATTGAGCTTGCCTTGATCAGTGCAGATGGTGTAAACGTGCCCTTGTAAGTATCTTGGCTGTTGCTCTGCAGAAAATGTATTACCTGCAGGGGTGGACTGACCATTTGGAAACTCGGCACTGCCCAAGGGCCCGGGGTCAGTAGGGGGCCCCATGAAATGCCCCTGGTACCTTTTTCATAGGCTTTTTTGGGTAAGGACACAGTGGCCCCATGATCTACTATTGCCTGGGGGCCCCATGAGTTGTCAGTCCGCCCCTGATCACCTGTTATGGGCGAGGTGATGACTTTAAGGCTACTTTCATACCGATCCATAGCAAAAATGTAGCTGCGTTTTTACCATGTTTGTGGTGCGGTTTTTTACAGGACACGTGACTCAAAAACTACACCAAAAATGCAACGCAGGTGTGTTTTTTTTTTTTTATACGTTTTGGTACATTTTCCATTATTTCAAATGGGGAGGTGTGTTTTTTTTTACTGCATCAAAATGCAGCAAGCAGGATTTAAAAAAATGCAGTGGACCTGGAACAGATCAGTGTGAAGAGTTCCATAGGAACACATGGTCACAAGTTTTTTTCTTTAATTTTTTTAAACAAAAAAGTGGAAGAAAAACGGATCAGTGTGAAAGCAGCCTTAAGCAGGCCATAGATGGGTCGCACATCGGCCGAAAAAAAAAAAAAAAAAAAAAAAAAAAAAATCAGTCGTTCAATAGGTTGACGTTACCACAAACGTTAAAAAAATCAGCCGATTTTTGCCCCGTCTACGGGCGGCATTTTTACTTCTGTCCCTGCAGAAAGCTCCACTGTTATATTTGACATGAAAAAGACTTGCGGTTGCAACAATGTATCCATTTGTATCCATTTCGGATACAGATTTTTTTTTTTTCTTCTCTCCTTCTTCCAAGTCACGGCTCATGCGCAGTTTTTTTTATCAGTAAAACGATCGGCCGATTTGCCCATCATTGCAGGGAAAGTCAGCCGATCATCAAAATCGGCCGCGAATTTTCCAACTTTACCGATTAAAAAAATGTGCCAAAACCCCAAAAAATGGCCGGCCAATTAACCCACTAATGGTGTGAAAGTCGGCCTTTTTTTTTTCCGGCCGAAAAATCGTCCGATTTTTCAACCCATCTATGGCCTGCGTTAGGGGTCGATTTACTAAAACTGGAGAGTGCAAACTCTGGTGCAGCTGTGCATGGGAGCCAATCAGCTTCTAACTTCAGCTTGTTCTATTAAGCTTTGACAATAAATCCAGAAAGCTGATTGGTTTCTATGCAGAGCTGCACCAGATTTTGCACTCTCCAGTTTTAATAAATTGAGTGCCAAGTGTTCTTCAGTCACACTCCAAGAAATAGCGTGCTGTGGATTTTAAGTCCTCATGCACATAGGATGTTTTTACAGCGGCTGTTTTTGACATTTTTTTCTACAGCCAGTAAACTCCCCAGCATGTTATCCTATGTGTCCATCCCCGGCGTGTTATCCCATGTGTCCATCCCCGGCGTGTTATCCCGTGTGTCCATCCGCGGCGTGTTATCCCGTGTGTCCATCCGCGGCGTGTTATCCCGTGTGTCCATCCCCGGCGTGTTATCCCGTGTGTCCATCCCCGGCGTGTTATCCCTTGTGTCCATCCCCGGCGTGTTATCCCGTGTGTCCATCCCCGGCGTGTTATCCCGTGTGTCCATCCGCGGCGTGTTATCCCGTGTGTCCATCCCCGGCGTGTTATCCCGTGTGTCCATCCCCAGCATGTTATCCCGTGTGTCCATACACACATAGACTGGAATCAACGGTTTTTGACTGGAAAAAACCCAGGACTAGTAGGTTTCTAGAGGAGTTTTTTAGCTGTAAAAACGCTCTAACGCTGAAAAACTTGCAAAACCGCGGCAAACTGGCATTTTTGGCCTTTTTTTGGTAAACAAAATGCTAAAAAAAAACAAAAGTGAAAAAAACGCAGCTAAACGCTAATGCAAAAATGCTAAAAAACTCAAGTTTTTAACGTGACTTTACACAGCTAATGTTACCAGCGTTATTAAAAAGCCCCGTGTGCATGGAGCCTCAAGCAGTACTGATGCCCCTGGTACCTTTTTTTCATAGGCTTTTTTGAGTTTGGGCAAGGACACAGGGGCCCCATGATCCCCTATTGCCCGGGGGCCCCATGAGTTGTTGGTCCGCCCCTGACTGCAGCTAAAAAGAAAATTAAAAACAAAAGAATGAATAGCCTATTATCATACAAATTATCCCTGGTTTACACTAAATGTGACTTAGAAATCGCGCTACTTCACTTGAAATAGCACGATTTTAAAGACGCAGATCAGTGCGATTTGTAAATCTGATTTCACTACGGCTTACGACTTCATTTAATAAACATCAATGAAAGTCGCAATGAAATGGGGGAAAAAAGTAGTGCAGGATTTTTTTTTTTTTCTTTTTTAATTGCGCTTCTTCAAATTGCACTGATTAACCCTAGATTCACACCTAAGCATTTTCCGCAAATGCCCAGCAGTCCATTTAACATGCTTTCCTATGGGGCAGGTGTGCATCTCTGCGTTTTCTGGAAATGGTCAGGGACTTTTTTTTTTCTTTCTTAAATGCAAAACATTGCATTTTTGGTTCTATAGACTTCAATGGAAATGCTGCAGAAAAGTATGCAGTACGGTTTTGATGCATTTTAATCAGTAAATAAAGGTAAAAAACGCAAAATGCACCGCAAAACACAGTGCAGAGACGGATCAAACGCAAACTGCATAGGTGTGAATATAGCCTAGGACAGTGCCATAGAATTACAGTAGATGCGACTTTAGGTTCAGTTTGTAAATTGCATGTCGCACCGGTGTGAACCAGGGCTCAATGATACAGCTTTGGCTGCAATACTCGCATTTAATCTGGAGTTGTTCTTCAGTCTTCTGGATTGAATGATGGCCATATAATATCGTGGGCCCGCCCCCAGCCTGTGACTGGACAGTGGAAGGAGAAGCAGCTCATCTGTCACTCTGCTTTCTCCTACTATCAGCCTTACCATTGATTGGTGACTGTACTGTTACAGGAGTTACTTTAGGGGACATATCCTTTAACTGTATGCTGATTGTTGTTTACACGCACACCTGTGAATTATTTGCCTACTGAATGTCTTGCTTTTCTCACTAGGTGTGTTCTGAGATCGGAGACACATACACTTCTGTTACCATCGCTGGCTGGGGTGGGGGTGCCGGGGGAGGACAAGCA